TTTTTGTGCTTTTATGGTTCTCGAATACATCAAAACGAGATTGTCCAAGTTTATACGGCGAAGCAAGTTACCAGGGACCGAAGCCGATGGAGTAGAAAGTTGCTGCAAATTTCGGGTAGGTAGCAGTCCTTCCGTTAAAGTGTGTTCATACTTTTGAGTGTAAGCGAACGCTCTAAGCAACTAGCAATTTATAGATATCGATCCAGCGTTTACAGCGCGCCGCGTTTTGAGCATCTAGCAAAATGCTACATCAATACTTACACTCTTCTTCAAAAAGCTGAAGCATAACATGAACGCTCTCCAGTATTCTTTTTCAGTTCTGTTTTTATGAATACTTCGTTATAGGTGCTTCGTTTTTTTTGTCTTTCAGATGTGTTTCCTTTTTTATTTTCTTACTTTGATTTTATCCATTCAAGTACTTATTCTGAACCGTTTCTGTTGCAGACCCATTTCGAACGGATAATGTGGTCACATTCACTAAAGCGTACCAGGTGTACTTCTTCAACTGTTTCCTCAAATCATATTTGTACTTTGCTATTCCACAGACAACGGATGGGCCTTTACTAGATGTCACGCTTTACCAAAAGGTTGGAATAGTTGCACTTTTGTAGCACAGCAATAAGAGGTGACCCGTTATGAGGCTTTCAGATGGGTGAAAGTCCGCGCAAAAAGAAAAGTAGACGGAAGAAGTCAGAGGATACTGGAAAACCCGCTGGAGCCCAAGAAGCGAAGGCAGCAAGTGCTGCCTCGGACCCGAAAGCATGTGAGGATTTGAATGCGTCAAGTTCAGCAATGCCATTTGTAGCTGATATAGATGTGAGTTGTATTTTGCAGTCTTCTCTCTGATTTTTTTTGCGTTTTTCTTTCATTTTACAATTGTTTGATGCTTTCGTTATGATAATAGTCTTTGTTGAAAGTGATCTGTGGATTATGTTTTGCACTTCCTTTCTTCTTGGCACGATCAAGACGAGTAGGATTAATATGCCTGGCGGGACGGATTCTGCGCGCCCAAGCAGGCGCTGCGTAGCGCCCTTTCCAAAGAAGGTACTCTTATAAGGGCCCTATCAAGCTACAACATACCGACCCGAACGCCCACCACGCCCGCCCGCCCACAAATGGACGACCGTTCCTGACGCTCGTATTGATTCATTTGCTAAGCAAATTATGAAGTGAAGGATTGGTATGAAGCGGCCGCGGTGCTGCATGAATATATGAGTACACACATGCAGCCATATCTTCGGTAGCGGGTATTGGCAACATTCCTGTGGGGAAACTCGCCCGAAATTGATTCTTAAGTCATTAAGGATGAAGGCTTTTTCTTTCCAAAATTTGGACCGTTTCACTCCGTTCTTTCGCCATTTCCCCACTATAGCGCCCTGCTAGCATTTTAGGTCGAGTACCAAATTATTGCGCCAAAAGCCTTTAATTCAGGTCATAGTTAGCGAGAAATGAGTTTTTTTCATGGTGGGGTTCTGCATTCCATCGGGGGCATTGCCACTTTTGCAGTTTCTACTCTCTCACACGGCTCTTTGAACTATGCGTCTTGGTTTTTTCGAAAGGCTGTGTCGTATACAGATAAGCGGCGATGATGCCTTATCATCGGAGAGCCCTAAAGAGCATGCATGTGTTGAACCTAGGGGTGGGCATATCAAGGCGGCTGACGGTAGGGGGTCGGCATCAACGGGGTACGTGAATAGTGGGGGGAAAATGCCAGGTCCATATGCTACATGACCTTAAAGGGAAACTACGCACTCACCTCCGCGGACAGGCTGCGAGAAGATTGCGCGTCACAGCTGTACTGGCGTGACACTTTGGCCACTCGAAACGGTGCTGCTAAGCCGTAGGTCACACGAGTTTGCCGATCTCCATACGCCCGTGTAACTAGCAAAAGTCCGGTGCTTGCATGATAACGCCGTTCACGTAGCGAAACACAGTAACAGCGGCAGAGAACGATGAAAAACTAGGAAGAAGTGAGAGAGCGCATAAATTAGCGTGTTTAGCCATTAGCCTAGCAGATCTGGCTAGCTGCTCGATTGGCAGTATGGGAAACCGCCACCCAAGTATCACTCACTCCAGTCCTTTCCCGTGTACTTTCGATCGTAGAAAGTGGCTCGCTGTTGCAGCTGCGGACCTGTTTACCTAACACGTGGCAAGAGCCGGAATCGATGGAGTTAAGTTTACAGTTAGTCTTTAGGAATATGTCGTCGTCATTCCGTCAGCCTTTTCTTTGTAGGAGGGCCCTTATTGACAGCGCGAATGGTGCGAGGAAATGATTGCGAACCGAGGGCTGTTAAATTTTTCCCAGCCCGGCGGGGAAAGGCTCTTGGTTTTGTCTGAATCACTTGCAACGCTACCCGGAGATTCTTCGTTGTAAGCTCAGACGACAGCATCCTTCGTATCCTGCCGTTTATAAAGAAAGAGAATGTTTGCAATGGTCTCAGGTGCTTGCCTCAAAATCCCCTACAAATTCGGCTAACGCTGGAATTTATTATCATTGGTAGATCTGTAGGTTAAAAGAATTGAGTCGTGTGAACGTTGAATGAAGCTGTACCTGGGGTATAAGGTGCACCCCTGTATAGGGCGCACTACCGTCTTGGATGCCGGCCGCAGATGTTTAGCTTTACTTTTTTCCTCTTCGCTTTCATCTACGTGAAAGACTCAATTTACCATAAAGTTGGATGTTGAGAACCATTCAGAAAATGCAGAAAAAGACCAATGTGGCTGCTATGTTCAGAAATTTTGTTTCGCATTTTATGTTTTGTTTCGCCCGCGACATCTCCACGTTATTGCCGATGAATGCGCGTTATAATGTGATTTCAATGTGATATAATTGTTTTTACTTATTATCATGAAACATCAGTATATAAAAGTGTGGTATAATTTCCAATATTGAATTTTTGGATTTATTGATTTCAAGGAAGTAGTCTAGTTTCCGTTTCGCACGTGCTCCTTAGACGGAAACTAGACAACATGGTATCCTCCCTCCGTGCCAGTAAGGAAGGGACCCATTATAACTTAGAAAATCGAATAAACCTATTATTCATATCCTTAACAGATTATTGAAGCCTGTTATTCCATTAATACGTTTTATTCAGGATGAAGAGTACACGGCGGCAGCAGACGAGTTAGCCGAAGAAGAGGAACGAATTGCGAAAATGGAAAAGGAGATCCTCCAGGATATGATGGTGAGAGTTTTCTTTTTTCTCGACGCTTCACTAGCTTTCCCTTTTACTGGCCCGTTTTCCATTAGCTTCTAGTAGCTTTTCGGCCATTTCTATATTATCTGAGAAATTGAATTCGCTTCATATGCGTACCTCTGAGAAGCTTAGCATAGTATGAATGATTTCTACAGTCTTGTTTGCTGCGAATGAAGGAGTGTGTCAGATAGTCTGAATGTGTCACGGCGCCAAACTGGTACTTCATCAGTTTTCGAAGCGGGAAAGCGGCAACTGCTGGTAGATTGTGCCTGATGCGAGCGATATGCCACAGTCTTGTCGTTTGTTCGCCTGAACAATTTTCAGAAAACCGTCACGCCTGACACGCCCCTTCATTCGCAGCGAAGTCGACTGTATTTTTGTGCACTTTCAAAATAAGCGTTAGAGCTTATTAATTTTGAGCCCGTGCCGAAGCATCTCGGTGTCATTGTGGATGCGAGACAATCGAATGGAAGTGAGAAGACCGAATGTGTGGACGAAAATCCTCAACCGAATCGATCAAATATCAAGGCGAAACTATTTTTAAATGTTGCTTGCATTAATGGACTCAGCTTGTGTTGCGATAATTCGGATGACGTCATGACGCAGCTTGTTGCAATTTCTGAAGCCATTGCCCCCTCAGATAATGCCGTTACTGGATGCTCGATAGTGGATCTACCGGAATCTCTCAGCGGAGCATACCTATTACCAAATGGAGACGCATTTTTTGTTCCAAAGCGAAGTGCTTGTGGATTTTTTGTCGCCAACAAATGGGTGACACGTGTGATCGATGTTGTCAGGCTGAAAAAGGGTCTCTCTGAACTGACCGTGAGCTTACCATCCAATCACTGTCTTAAAGTGCTGCACTGCCTTCAAATCTGCGGTTCGTATCCAGTGAGCAGACTTCAAGAACGGTTGGCAGAAGTCAGAGCGATTCCCAAAACTTCCGTTCTTGTACTCTTTGGCTTTGATGGAGATGAAGAAAAAGGGCAATGTGGACTTGTGGAACAATGTGAGGCAGTAGGATTGAGGGTGTGGGAAGGATTTTATGGCGAAGAACTTGATAAATCGAGGAATATGATAGCAAGTGATCCAATTGATGATTTTGTTGAAGTAGAAGAAGTCTGTCTAGAAATATTCGATAACTTCCCAGTCACTAGCAAAGTGGATTCCGTAAAGGTTGCTCTGAAAGTAACAGGTGCTCGGATCCTGCCAGTAGGGCTGATGGGCAAACCTGGCCCTGTAAAAGCGAATAAAGGAGTAGTCGAGCTTGTTGAACAGAATATGGACAAAAATAAACGAAAAAAAGAACGAAGAGTGAAAAGAGCGCGACGTAGACGACGTGCAAAAGAAGAGGCCAAGAGAGTATTGGAGTACATGGAGAAGCAAGCAGACGAGTTATTAAGTAGAAAAGTGGAAAATGACAGTTCTGTGATGACTCAAGAGAATCCCGGGCCAGACGATGAGAACGGCGAAAATTCACCAGAACCCGAGGCTACCGCGACGTCCGGGAAGAAGAAAGGTCGCAAGAAGCGTAATAAAGTTATCGCCGTCGACGATGATGTCAAACTCATAATGGAAAAGCTCATTAGTGATGTACTGGAAGCCAGCGAAGAAGAACAGGTGGAGATGAATGACGGCCAAACTAATTCGAGCCTTGTCGCTAATTCTACAGAGGAGGAATATCAAGAGGTACTCTATGTAGTTGTCTTCCTTATTTTGTCATGCTGTAGAATAGGGAATTTTCGTGTTTTACTCAGTTTTCAGGGGAATTCGGAAAATTTCGAAACAGGGTTTCTTTAGCCGACTGAGATGGGAACGCTCCAGCACAAAGTAACACATGGTACACCTATGGGGGAGGGGGGAGGGGGAGCTTGAAGAATCGCTTGGGCGAAGTGAAAGAAAGGCTTCCTGCCTCAACCTAGAAGGGAAGGAGCTCCGAGGTGGGTGAACTCAGTCTTGTTCGCCGCGGATGCAGAGGCGTATCACGGGTGGAGGGTTAACGCGGCACCGGCCCTTTTCCCCCGATTGTGGAAGCTGGCAAGTGTCCAAATGGGCAGAAAACGGGTTGCCGCTGCGCTAAATCAGGCTCACACTCCCTTCGGTCTTTAACCTCTCCCCCTCCCCAACTCCCCACACCTCCAGGGGCGAGCAGTGCCCAAAGGTGAATGGGGAATGGATCAGCCCTTATCCGAGTCCCTGGATTGTACCATGCAGACGATTCCTAGTCATGATCCAAAGGCTGCTATTTGACTGCCAAGATCCGAGAACCGAATGAATCCATTTTAGTCGCCCTAAGTAGGAGGTGCGAGAATACAATCGATTCTCCACCTTTCAAAGTCTCGCTCAGTACATTTAATTTTCAAGTAGTGTTCACAGTCTGCCTTTCTGTTCACGGAAACATTCATTCCCGCGGTGAACTGAATGGAATCCAGGAACCTCTTAAGAGCCCTGTATGGCGTAAGGTTATCAAAACGCCAAAGAGCAGTTCAGGAGACGTCAACTGTCCACGATATTCGACTGAAGGATTTGACTCCGGAAAATGTAGAAATAGACGATTGTATGGTGTATAGTCGGCGAACCATGCAACGAATTCGCGAAAGAAATCTCACGCGTCTTCCTGTGGAAGTAAGTTCAGCATATCTTGAATCTCCTGCCACAAATTTATCACTTTTACTACTTTTTCGCTTTCACCTTAACGGTCTCTGGGTTTAGCTGTACAAGTTTCTGGATAGCATCGGTTTGGCCAATAGAGACTTCAAGGAACGAAACAAAGAAGTTGACGATCTGCTTATGTTGAGGCGAGAGAAAATACGTCACGAGCAGAAGAGAGAACGCCTGCGTGCTGTGATTGCAAGGAAAGTCGATAGAGATGTCGACAAGGTTCAGGTGAGGCTGAGCTCCAGTAGCGCACATTTCAGCGCTCTTCTCAAGTATAGACTCTGTGATAACCTCTGGGCAAGGCACGTCCTTCCGCCGGAGAAAATTTTCGAAAGACCCGACTCTCCAGTTTCCTCTCCTAATTCCCCTCCCTCTTTCCCCATCCTAGCTATAATCTCACTAAGTTCTCCCTACTTCTTGACAAAACCACGAAAAACCAACCACGAAAAAATGTCTCGCGCACGGAAGGAAATTCTTCAGACCGAAGACGACTTACCTCCCCCTCCACCGACCAAATAAGATCCACCAGCGTGCCTTGAAAGTGAATCAATCCTTGTGCAAGATTGTTCAGTTCGCAGTTGTGGCCCCTTTTGGCTAACGCTAGGCCTTCATTCGCCATATAATCCCGCCCTCTGGATGGCGACTCCACCCAGCTCCCTTCCATACTGGCGCTAGGGTTCATATCTGTGTGGGATTGTGTCAGGCCCCGCTCTCGTACAAATTTTTGCCTTCTCATACTGCTCCTTGTCTCTCCCACGCGCTTCTAGTTTCTCTTCACCTCTTATTCATTCGCATGATCGTCCAGTGCCAAAAATCACCTGGAAGAGGGGGCCTTAGTCGGAACTCACTCGAGGGCTCTGTCTCCTTTTTTTTGCTCGTGAATCAGTTGATCAATCCATAAGTCCTTGTTTGTTCCCTTCTACACTCGACCTGCATTCACAAAATGTGTTTTTGGCTTTTTATTTTTGTTGAAAACGTGGCGAAATGAACAAGAATTACATTTAAGAAAGACCTCGAAAACTTCAACCCTTTTGATAAAGTCAGAGCGGGTCTGACTGAAGAGGACTGGATGATGTCTCCAGATGAGGAGTCAGTAAACAATAACGCAGGTATGACTTGTATTCTCACATTTTTTGATCGAGAAGATTAGAAGCTTCAAGTCTCGGTGTCGTGGAAAGGTGTCGTGTTGAATTGATGCAGTGGTTCAGCCCATGAAATGTTTTGGTTTTCGTCACTTTTTGCTGGGTACGTGAATTCCAGTGATTTCCTGTGCGGTCCTGTTGCGAAACCCTGCAGCGCGGGTAGATTGAGGAATTTGGTCGCCAAAGCTTCAATGGTACGAAAGCTTTTATGGTGAATGGAGGATGGTCCTTTTCTCGAGTATTCCGTAGAGCTCTTAATGCGCCGTCCCAGCCCCCAAGTATCCCCCCGCTCCTCCCCACCAGCTCTGTCCTTCTTAACCATTGAGCGCGTGTGCATTGATTTCCAGGTACATTTCCAGATTGATTTACATTAGAATAATCATACGTGTGTAATAGTTTTTTTTTGTGAAAGATGCTTTTGTTTTAGGGTCGTAAGTCCAAGTATCACATTTTCCCATGGCTCGAAATGAGCTGGGTTACGTTTTTCTCATAGCCCCTCATTTAAAACCTCATAACTAGATGTAAGCATAAATATAACCTACTCCATAATGCCCCTCTGGAAGATCCTACTAGAAGGGTGCCGTACTAGTTGAAAGACGATTTTGCCCGTTGTACCACTCCTAGAACGGTCTTGTTGGCTCGAATTTTCGGAACGAGTCAGCTTTTGGTTTTTGTTTAGTTAATGTTTAAATAGTGGGGTGTTTGCTTAAATCTGTTTTCAGAGGTCGTTGATGAATCCGTTGAAGAACCTTTGGAGTCCGCTGAAAACGGTGAGACTATCATCAAAGTAAACGTGGTGAGTGTCGTCCATTCTGACGTCGTTTTATGCTGTCTTAGACCCGTCCCGCAGCTGGGGAAAGGTTTTTGAAGATGCGGCACTTCCCCTATGTCCTTCTCTGCTACGAAATCATTTCAGCCGACCGAATGCGTCCCCTCCCTTGGTGGGGATTCACCAGCGTACGACGTGCCCCGTTTAGAACCTGAGGCCCATGAGCAAGATAGATGCTTACCTTTCCAGCAGCGTGAAATCACCCTCGTTGAGGATTCTCTCACCTTTCTCGCTCTAGTAAGTCCTGCGTGTGAGTTTTTCCAAGCGAGCGTTATGAAAAAACTACTAGAACATATCGTGCTCGTTGGAGCGCCTTTACTTGGTGTAGTCGCAAAGAGTTGGGGCGGGCTCAAGAGAGATGGAATGAGCCCACCCGCAGCGTGTCCACCACCAGGCTCATTACGCCCCTCCCGACCCCCCCCCCCCTCCCTCGCCGGGCGACGTTATCAACTGTACGCCATCAAATCAATTGAATGATCTGGATATGTTTTACGAACTTTTCAGGTTCAAGAAGAAGGAGAGAAGAAATCGAAGTCGCGGATATGCTATGAAAACTTTTTCATTAGCCTCAAAGAATTCGATCCTCAGAGTTTGAAAAAGAAAGTAGGTGCCAATATTTGGTCATGCACAAGTCAGTTAACAAGTAGTTCCTTTTCAGTTGAACCAACTTCCAGTCGATCGGTTTAAATATTCGTTCGATGACTCACAGAATTTCAACAATGGATATGTAAGTTGACTACGTGAAGTATGGCTACCTAACTCTGACTTTGTGCAGTCGAACATGACTGGATCTAATTTGATGTCATTTGCAGAAGCCCGACATAGTCTGCTCATTCTGTGAAAGCAGCGATCATTGGTCTGATGTTTGTCCGCTGATGATCGTGAGTTACTGCAGAACCGTTCCTGAGTTGCCACTCACTAAGGCTTTTCTTATCGAAGTTGACGAGAAGAACTTCCTATTTTTAATATGTTTGTTTTTCCTTCCTGGGTAAAAGGCGCAGGTGATGTAGTAGCAAGTGGGACGGTTACCATGCGCGCAGTCCGGGAGTCAAATCCTTGACTGGCTACCGTCTAGGCTCAATCAACTCAACCGAGCCTCCTCCTCCT